CTGCTGAACTGATTGAATTAATTTCTCAATCTATTCCCAATGGTAGTAGTAGAGAATTTAGTCAGTGTGTATATGTTGCATGCATGGGTAAACAAGTCTACTTCCTATATCAGCAAAAGATCACGCTGATGACATTGGATCAGATGTCAAAATTCATTAGATAATAATCTTGTATCAGTAAGAAATAAAAGTAAATAGTGTATGCAGTGTCTGTGTGAAGGATTTTTTTACAATAATTAACTTAAAAGTCATACTAGTAATGAATTTTAATTGATTGACATTAGTGTAAAATATTTCATACTAAGAGTGCCTAGAAATTAAACTTAAGAAATAATCCCTTATTTTATAAATGTTTTCTCAGAAAACTGATTAAATAAGCGATTATTTCTTCAAACTAAGTCAAGCCAAGTGTGCATAGAGCTTAATTGGTGGTGTGGTTTGCAATGATTGACTTGACGAAGAGAGTTCACATGTTATCAGGGAATCCTGGCTATAAACTTAAATTTCTGCTTTTCATTTCAGCTTCCAGTGTCTCACGCACCATCTAGAAAGTTTTCCACACCACCAAGAGCCAGGGCCACAGCAAACTTGTACACCAAAGTTGGCATCCTTCGAAGTGTGGACTCTCTTGATGTTTCTGTTAATGAACCACGAATTGACAAGATTGCAGAATTTCCAATGGCTTTCTGTGAGAATCCTTTTTTCCCTGTCCGTGCACCATCATCAACATCAGCTCGCTGCTCTTCTAGCTCAGCAGGGAGCACTGCTGATATCTCCATCACAAAGGACAAGTGCACAATCCAGGAGGACAAAGTTACTGTCCCCAGACTCCCCACCAATATTGGTGATGCATGCCCTGGTCCAAAGGGCACTGAATGCTCTTCTGAGCATGTAAAAGCTTGTGTTTCTGCCGAGTTGGATCAGCGCCGGTTTGACACTTCATCGTTCCAGCAGCGTGCAGAGGCATTGGAAGGGTTGCTGGAGTTCAGTGCCAGGCTCCTTAAACAACAGAGGTTTGAAGAGCTTGGGGTGTTGCTGAAGCCATTCGGGCCTGAGAAGGTTTCTCCAAGGGAAACAGCTATTTGGTTGACCAAGAGCTTTAAGGAAACTGTGGTCTAACTAAGGTTTTCTTTTCGATTTTCATGCACGTATATCATAATTGCTAACTGATATTGTACATAATGGTGTATATTGGTTGCATAATAATGAAGAGTGGCTTTTATTATTGGTGTCATCATTTTTCATGAGATTTACACTGCACTAGGGTATGGGTATGCGGCCTGTAGAATCATTATAGATACAAGGTTATTTTAAAATTCATAAAGATAACATTTTTGCATGGCATATGTCAGTCACCATACTAGTAATAGTACACAAAAAAATAAGGTCTAAAATTGCCCATGACTTGGTCCTTAAGCATAAGAAGAAAGAGGAAGATGGGCCATTTAGTCCATAAATTGAAGGCCCAAGAAATCTAAACGCATCAGCATCAATTATTGGGAAACTATCCAGAGAAGCCCATGGTTTTCTCTCCTTCCAAAGGATTCATTTATCCAATACCAAAATCATCAAGTTCCGGAATTGGTGGCGGGTAAGTGTACTAATTTGTGGTACATATTATCATTCACTTTCTGAAAAGAAAGCAGTTTCTATAGAATTCAAAAGTATTGAAAATGAATGCTATATTGACTGTTCCAAAAGGAAGAGAGTTCCCTTCTTTTCTTTTGACATTTTTTTCAGTGACAATGAAAAAAGAAAAAAGATCCATTTGGTGCATAATGTTATGAGTTGGGAGTGACGAAAGTGGATCTGTATCACTAACTCCAACTGGACATGCATCATGTGATGTAGAAATATATGATCCCAAGGAGAGAATAGTCCTTTTGGAAAGCCTCTCCTCTCCTTACACATGTTGTCATTTAAAATGGAGAATCTGATGACATAATCTCAAAAGGAACCCTTCGCTTAGCTCTAGGAAATGGACTCAGTCACCCTGGACCCTGCTTTGCAGCTAATAGACCAGAGATAATTTACTTTTAGGGAGCTTCTTATTACTTTTATACTTTGTTTAGTTTCCGAAAAGAAAGATAAAAGAAAAAAGTAAAAGGAAAGAAAGTGAGAAAAAAGAGAGTAAAAATAAGTTGATTGTTTAATTGAAAAACCACAAAAGAAATATAGAATGTTATTAGAGTAACTCTCACGAAGACACTCAGACTCAATGAAATTCAGAAGAATTCCTTATCTTCGATACATTCATAAAAATCATAAATGATTCTAATAGATATAATACTTTTGTTTTTATATAAGTATAAAAACTACATTTATACTTTTATATATAATTTTTTTTAAGAAAATATTTTTAGAGCACCTATAATGCAAGGTATTAACTATAATTTTTGCCATAAATATTTATGTTTATTTAATTTTTTTTGTTGGAATACGATTTGATTTATGAATTAGAGTTTAGTGTTTAAGATTTATAAACAAACATCAGTCCTCATACTAACAATAGTCCAACAATTATAAAAAGAAAAAGAAACATAAATTAATGATGGAATGTAGGATGTAAAATAATTGATGGGACCCATTTTGTAGCTTTTATTGAGATGGAGGAATTGAATACTTAATGAAATTCTCACATAAAAAATAGTAAAAATAAATGATATGTATATGTAAAATTCATTTAACTAGCTTTAATGAGATACTGGATTATAAATACTTTTAGGTCCGGGTCATGTGTAACCTGTTACAGATTTTTGAAAGAAAAAAAGGTGTATGTTGATAATTTAAGGTTTTTTAAGTGTGTGAAACGATTCTTTCATTAATTTTCTTGTTTTGTTTTTTTTACCAATTGATTTTCTAGGTAAATGATAGACGAAATGAAGTAATTAGCATATGATATGACTTTTATTTTTCTAAAATTGTAATGTAACTAGTTTGGATCTGAACAACTTAGTTCCTATCTTTTAACAGTGTGCAATACAACCTCAGCTTCTTTCGTTCTTGGAAAAAATGTCCCTATGAATCTAGAGTCTTTTCATCCCAAAGTAACTTGAATCTCCACTATTTATACTGTGCTTGAACTTTCACTTAGGAACCCAATCTTTTCCATTCATAAATAAAATAGGAGTAAGCACCAATTTCATCTTTGAAAAAAAAAAAAATCAAATTAGTCTTTCAAGAATACAAATATGAAAATATGAAAGTAGAGATGAGAATATGTCAGGTCAGACCAGACTTTAAATATACAAGTCAAATCTGTTCTATAAAATTAAAATCTAAGTCTGACCTATTATTTATTATAGACTTTTTTTAATAGTTCTGATCTTATTAAAGTCTTGTTTTGGCTTATTAGTTTATTTAAAAGTCTATTTTATATTAATAATGTCAATTAGGCTAATAAACTTAATTTTTAAAAAATCTGTGGAAGAAAATATGCACAAATGTTTTGATGATGCCAAAATAATTATAAAGCATTGAAGAAGAATCAAGGTTGAGCTAAAGCAAGTTGATGCAAGAACAAGATTTCAAGTGGTACATAGATAAGTCTTGTCAACTTAGCTAAGTATGTAAAAGAATCTTTTGGAATTGCAAGTATGTTTGGCCTTGAGAATAAGTTTTCAAAAATCTCAGATTAATCTCTTTAAATTTAAACAAGTTTTAAATCTTTTGAAAGTAAGTAAAAATGTTTTCAAAAGACTTAACAAAAGCCTTAAAAAATAGTTCAAATCATTTCTTAAAAGAGATTTGTGAAAGAAATTATTGAGATGAAGTTTTCTACATAAAAGTTTTTGAAACAATAAAAAATATGTTCTAGTAATCCATTACCAGACCTTGTAATCCATTACCAGAACAGGAAATTTCAAAGTTCAAATTCTGAATACAAAATGTGTTCCGGTAATCGATTACCAGACCCTTGTAATCGATTACCAGAAGATAAAACTTCAAAATTTGAATTTAAATTATACAACGTTTCAATCATTTTGAACTTTAATCATTGTAATCGATTACCAAGTCTTGTAATCGATTACCAGAGCCTATTTTCTGAAAAATTATAGAAAGTTACAACTCTTCATGAAAAGACATAACTTAAGAAACAATTGTCTATAAATACATATAATTTTTCAGAGAAAGGTGACGAACTTTATTGTGAAAATAATCTTTACAAATCACTTGGCCAAAATCATTTGCAAAATCTCTAAAGAGTTCATCAAAGATCATGAAAGTGTAATATCCACTCTTCAAGAGAGTCATTCTGTAATACTTAATAGATCATTGGATCTGTAAAGGAGAAAGGGTTTTTCTCCTTGTTGGTGTTTGAATCTCAACACAAGGAAAGGGAGTTCCGAGGTGTTGGAGGATTCATTTTCTTGTAAGGTTTACAAGAGTAGTGGAAATCTCAAGTGGGAGACTTGAGGACTGGATGTAGGCAGGATTGGCCGAACCAGTATAAAATCAAGTTTGCAATTCTTCTTTCCCTACACTTTTAATTTCTTGTTATTAATTATAATTGTGTAGTTTGCATCATCATTCATTCTTTACATACAAATTTGTCTAAGGAATTATATTTGATAAAGAAGTAATTGGAAAAGTTTTTATAAGAGGAAATTTAAGAAAACTTAATTCACCCCCCCTCTTAAGTTAATTGAGGCTAAGGGACTAACAAAATCAATAAATTTATTTTTAAATACATTGCAAGTTATTTTTTTTTTTAATTTATATGATAAAATATAGTTTAGAGTTTAAGTTTTAGTCAATATTATTAAAATTTTAAATTTTAAATATATAATGTTACAAAGAGGGAAATAATAATCATTTTCTACTAGAGAGACAATTTATGTGCAATCAAGTATGTTGGTGTACACTTATGTATATACCATAACCCTATAAATCTATAATGAAAAAAGGAATAATCATATAAAAAATATATTTTAAATATTTCCTATGTCTAATTTGATATATATATTCTAAATCATCAACTCATATTTTAACAAATTAAAATAGTTATGATAACAAACTAAAAAATACTCATTGTACATAAGGTGATCTCAAGGGTACTGAATACATATACAATAACACAAAGAGAGAACAGATGAAATTATTTTTTATTAAAGGGACAACTCATGTACATCTATGTGCAAACTATGATAAAAAGGTTAACCTTATTAAAAAATATTTTAATTATTTCACTCAACATACTTTTAATAACCAACTCTTAATTTAAAAAATTAAAATAACTATAATAATACTCATTAAGATTATTGGTTTAACTATAACAAAATTTAGTAATTTAAAAAGATGACATAATTATTCAATACAATCAATTTAATACTAATACAATTATTTATTTATTTATATTAAATAATATATGTATATTAATTTTTATTATATTAGATAGATAAATAAGTTGATCTATCAGATTTAATAGATTTTTTTTTACAAAACTTAAGTCCAATCTTTTTAATTAAATACTTTTTTTAAAAAGTTTAAATATGATATTTAATCTTATTAAAGAGGTTAGAATAGATCAGATTTTAAAGAGATCAAATTATAGGTTCCTAACTAAGACCTGAACAATTTCCATTTTTATGTAAAAATCATTCAATTATTATTATTATTTTTGTTATAATTGTAAATTCACAATATTTTTAGTTGTTGAAAAATGTCTCAAATATTAGTCTGTAAATTTTTTAATTAAAATAAATGATGGATTAAAAAGTTCTACATTTATAATCTTAAAATATTATTGGTCTTTTATACTCTAAATTGCAAGCAACATGAGATCATATACAATCTATACCAACTTGCATATACACCATCCAAGCAACCCCTTCATAAGACTACTCTGCTCATGGCAATCTCATCCGTTGCCCACTACACCCTACGCAATCATCATTTTCTTAATGTCTCTAACCCATACTACTATCACAATTCTTTTTTGGACTTTTCTCATTCAGGTACAACCTTCCTTTATTTCATGCAAGAAATGGAACATAAAAATGCATGATGGATTCTCCTTTGCGATGAAAAGCTAATGGGAATAATGAGCCGATTAAGGGAGAAGAATTTTTTTTCCACAATTTAAAAGCTCTAGATTTGAAATATAACTTTTTTAATATAACTCTAGGAGATTAGCTAGAGGGAAACTAAAAACAACGTAGTGCTGATTTCAGCACATCTCATATATAATAAATATACAAGTAACAATGTTTATCCCGCCTGCGGGTGACAAATAAA